ACTGGTGACTTTTCTTCAGATGAATTCAATTGGATATAAATGGCTTTTTCCTGAAGGAGTGACTCTGTGTTTAAAGCTAAAGCTAAAGAGTTCCTGAGGGCCCAGCTGGGGAAAGCAGAGGAAGACGACGGTAAATCGAGTGGAGAAGTGGATTCGGAATCTTCTGGGGAGGACTCTTTGACTGAGCAGGGAGCAGCAGCTCCAAGAAGTCCTTATAAGCCGAGAAAGGGGAAAAAGAAGTAAAGGCTGAAGGACACTGAATTGTGCCTTGAACTTAACAATATGTTAGTGATGAATGGGGGGTGGTTTTCAGGCATTTTAAGTTTTAAAATTAGGAGAGAGAGAAAAATGAAAAGGTTTGACTCTGTTTGTAGAGATGAAATTGAAGTTAGGATTTATTGTAACTAAACTTATTGGAGATCTCCTCTCTTGGGTTTTTAGGTAGTAGTTGGTATTCTTTACTTTATCCCAGTATGTGTAGCCCCCCCTCCCTTTTTTCTTTGTAGTATTTGTAGTTATATAAAAAAAAATTAAAAAATCCCCTCCAGGGGAATCAAAAAAAGAAAGAAAGAAACTCCAGATTTAGAAATAACATATGAATCAGAATCATTTTTTTGTATGTGACCATAGGCCTTCACAATACTCTCAGAGAGTTTGTGCATAACATATGATAAAAAAATTCATCCTCTATAAAACGTATAAAACCTGTTAAAACTACCTCAGCCTATAATATCTAAATCTGATAAGACCTTTTAAGAACACTCATTTATTTGCAATGGCACTATTTGATTTCTTTGCTCTAATTTTTCTCGCGGCCAAGGCCCACATCTGCAGATATGTTGGTCTACTGGGGTTTTCTTATAGCGACCAGCTAGCATCTCAAAAGGCATGGTTTGAAAACACACTGAGGTAAGGGACCTCCTGAGATTATACAAGGTTATGTTGTTTAATTAAGAGGCTCTGGAATGATCCTTTTTAAATATTTAAAACCATGGCGCAAACCTCGATTGGGAGATCAAAGTGGCATCTATTAGTGCATCCTCTCTAAACATCCATTCGTATTGTTCCCTGTATGTTGTAGCAAGTCATTTGGAATAGTGTATCTAGTAATTATATTATTTAAAAATTCAGGGCAAGCTTAATCTTTTTCATTCAGTAGATGGTAACTAAGTTTACTGAATGCGTCTGGACTTTTTAGTTGGATTTCCCCCCAGAACTTTAAAATCATCAAGTGGGCTCGAAACCTCACTGATGGAAGTCCCAGTTCAGCTCATAACAGGGCAGCCGGTGTTCCTTTTCGAAGTGCCAGGAAATGTCTCATAAATAGGTTTTCAAGTGTCTCTAACCTAAGGAGTAAATGATCTTTCCATCCCCATATCTCGATGCCATACAGTAACTGAGAAATTATTTTACTAACAAAAAGTTTCAGCACTGGGTCTATAAGAAAACCTCCCCTGGAGTAGTAGAATCTCATTACAACTCCCATTGTCTTAAGGGCCAAAACTTTAGTAGATTTAAGGGTTTCACTAAAGGTTAAACCCAGGTATTTGTAAGATATGCATTGCTCTGTTGGGACACCCTGTATGCTCCATCGGAACTTTCTTGGTAGAAATAACATATGATTGCTACTGTTCCCCTCACTGCAAAAGAGCAAAAATACACACACACAAACAAACAAGCCCCCACCAAAAATAAAACTACCCAAGCTATTGTGGAAGTGAAAGGGCCAAGTAGTATAATTAATGACTCAAACAATGAAAATAAAGGCTGCCAAAATTATTTATCCATTTTCAAGGTTACAAAAAGAAAGATAATCAGATATCACAGAGTTTTTCAAGCATAATTTTCTGTGCTCTGGATGTAATAAGGGATTCACATTTAAAAGTCAAGGAAGAAAAGAAAGAGGCTTTATCTTGAATTGCTCTTTCAGGACGTTCTTGAATCATAAAAATCTGTAGCAAATGTTTACAGGTCATATCTGTATAACCTGGAAATATGAAAGGGTTTTGTTTTTTTGCATTATATAGAATTACCAAAATAAACTATAAACATTTAGATGGCAAAATTCTGCGGCACAAATATTTCAATTTAGTTATTGTAAAATTTAGTCAATTAAAAATAACAAAATGAGCTGACTCATAATAATTTCTATATAATTCTGATACATTCTGGCATTTTCTACTCCATTTCTTTTAAATAAGACATTAGATCACACTATGATTATTACAAAGGAAACCAATAAAATGATTTTGCAGTTTGCTCGTTAAAAAAACCTTACTAATGTTAGAGGAAAATGTTGACTTTTAATTCTGTTGACTTTTAATTATGTTTAATTCAGGCACTTCTATTAAAAGAAGACCAGTGATTGCTTTATGCATATGAGAATATTTCATAGAGAAGCTCAATAGCTAAGGAATTCAGATCTGACTTATCAGAGATCATACATGTAACTAGTTTTTATATCCCATAGCAATTCAGTTTAATTCCTTCAGCTGAAGTGAGATGTAAAATTTCTAGAAATGTTGAAGTCATTTAGAAAAACCTTTCCCTGCATTTATTCCAGAAAAAAAATGGAAATTTTGGGAAAAACTGAAATATATGCAATACTACTTGTTTGTTTATTTATTTAATTGGATTGTATTCCACCCACCCTGCAAGAGGGCTCAGAGCAGATCACAACAACAAATCCACAACAGGAGTTAAAACATTTCACAATAAATAGTTAAAACAGTTAAAAACAAAAACTATAAGCTAAGGACACACAGCACTGCAATTCACTACAATAGTTTCAAACATGGAGCTGCTAGGCCATAAACCAGACCGTGGGTCTTCACCTGATGGGCCATAGAAGATGGAAGCTTCAGCAAGGGAGGCCAGTAGATGGAATAATTGTATGCCTGCCACCTCACCCAAAGGCCTGGTGGAACAGCTCCATTTTATATGCCCTGCAGAACTGTAATAGATCCTGCAGGGGCCTGATCTCCAGTGGGAGCATGTTCCACTAGGCTCGGGCCAGGGCAGAAAAAGCCCTGGTCTTGGTCAAGGCTAAGCAGACATCCTTTGGCCTGGGACAACCAGAAAATGTTGGTCCACTGAGTATAAGGCTCTCTGGGGCACATATGGGGAAAGGCAGTCCCTCAGATATGTTGGTTCCTGGCTGCACAGGGCTTTGAAGGTCAGTGGATCTGGTACTCAATCGTGAGCCAGTGCCATTTGAGAAAGACTGGCCGAATGTGTGCCCACACAGGGGATACAATCAGCAAACAGGCTGCCACATTTTTCACTAACTGGAGTTTCCAGATACTTCAAGGGCAAGACTGTGTAAAATGAGTTACAATAACCAAGCCTGGAAGTGACCATTGCATTGGTCACTGTAGCCAAGTCCTCGGGGGAGAAATAAGGAACTAGTTGCCTGATCTGCTGAAGATGATAGAAGTCAGACCTGGCAACAGCAGTGACTTGGGCCTCCATCGAAAGTGAGGCATTTAGGATCACTCCTAAGCTCCTCACCTTCTGAGCTGGCACTAATGGTGTGCTGTCAAAGGCAGGGAGCCTGATTCCCAACCCTAACCCCTCCCCCCTGGCTCAAGTACAGGACCTCCGTTTTTGCTGGATTAAGTTTCAACTGACTCTGCTGTAACCACCCAGTCACAGCCTCCAATGCCCTGTCCAAGCTCTCTAAGGTGGAGACTGGGCAGCTGTCCAGCAACAGATAGAGCTGAGTGTCATCAGCATATTGATGGCAACCCACCTCAAACCTCTGGATCAGCTGGGCGAGGGGGCACATGTAGATGTTGAACAGCATTGGTGAGAGGATCACTCCCTGCAGCACTCCACATTCCAGTGGATATCGCAGGGTGACCCTCTCACAAAGCACCACCCTCTGTCCCTGACCATGGAGAAAGGTGGAAAACTACTTTCCCATAAAACCTAAATTTCTTTTACTGATTTAACATCATCAAATACAACTTTTATAATTTAGTTAACATATAAAATTTTATTATTTGGCATATTTATGTTACATGACAAATGGCAACAGGATCTTGGGATCTATGAAAGCCACCATACTTCTATCTATGAAAGTCACCCTATGCTATCATAGCACACATATTTCTAATTTTTGCCATCAGAAACACAGGAAAACAAATTATGTGGTAAACAAAAGAAAATGTATTATTTGGATAGAGGTAGAATATTAAGTTCAACTCTGTAACATTGAAAACACTGAAATCTTTAATAATGTACTATAATTAAACACAGAGCATATTTATGTACATTTAGACAAAAAATCTTGAGAATGTTGTATATGTATACAGTATAATATTTTTTTCAGTTTTTCCCAAATATCCCAGTTTTTCCACTAGAAAAAAATTGTTCTGTACATTTAGAATGAGTGAAAATGCTTTGTAAAACAGAATAAACTGTTCCATAGGAAGCTTTTTCAGTCTTCCTCAAAATTTCCAATTTTTCCAAAGCCCTCAGACTTTTCATGATATACATTTTGAGTGTGAAAAACTGCCCCTTAAGAAGCATTTTACTCACTTTGAAAGAGAAAATATTTCATAATTGTTTTTCAGTGTTACCTCAGTTTTCAATTTTTCTGTCAGAAAAACTGAAAAGAACTCCTTGGGGGAGAAAAGAAACCCCTGAATTTTACCCCAGGCCTTCATATGTCTACAGCTGAACAGAACAATGGAAGTTTGCACAAATGAAAATGGAAAGAGATGCAAGTTTACATTGCTCAAACAAACATGGTTTGCTTGGATGCAATTTGAAGCAAGTCTTCATTCTACCTTTCTGCTATCTCAAACTGATCAATGAGATATTGCAAACACTAGAATCTTTCTAGAAACTAGGAACTATCAAAGGGGGTATAATACAGTACACAATATAATGCTCAATAGTAACTAGAAGAACTCCTGGGAATATAGGCAAATATAGAAATACATAAACTGGAGCAAATTAGAAAGGATTTGATCTTTAGTAAATGAGTACCATACCATATGTTGGAGTGCTCTCTCTTCTCCCAGAGCTAGTTGTTCTTCCTTTCTCATATTCATAACAGTACAAAATAGCATCTTCTTCAACCACATTAAAACGCTTTCGATATTCTTGGTCAAGAAATGAATTTGGCGATTCAGATCCCTTATGAACTGGCTTTCCTACAAGGTGTCTTCCAATATCGTCACATGGGAGATTTCCCTTCTCATCCCTTTTGTTTATAAAGACGTATTTTGATAGTCATGTAAAGAAGAAGAAAGATAACACAGTGAATCTTGTGCTGCATTATGGAACTGGATTTGCATTAGTGAGCCAACCTACCAGCACCACTGAGACCTTAGATTGGTTAGTATAGATCACAATTTGTTGCACAAACCCTAATTAGGCAACCAGATAGCTATAGCCATATTTTGTTTGTAAATCTCAGTAAGTCTGCTACTTGTATCCTCCCCACCTTAGAGCAGAATCCTTGGATCATAACCTAAGCACCCTTGTATTTCCAGGCTACTGGCAAAGCCTTACTAGGTATAGGCAAACTGCTATGAATGGGAAAGAAATATAGGGAGGAGAAGAAGCCCAGGACAAGCCAAGTTCCCTCTGCCTTGTTCTTGGCTAAGATGTTGATAGGCAATAGATTTAGGACCAACAAAACAAAATAATGAGTAATTAAGTTGTGGACTTCACTGCCAATGGACATAGTGATGGCCATGAGCATAGATGGCTTAAAATGGAATTGGACAGATTCATGGAGGATAAAAACATAAATGGCTCCACAGTCAGAAAGGAACCAGTTGGGCATTCTGTGTAAAACAGGATGCTAGGCTAGATGTGCCATTGGTGTGATTCTTATGTTCTTATGATCATTAGCTATCGTTCCCCTTCCGTCCAACTCCTAAACTGTACTCTGAAATGAAACAAGGTTTTTATACTCTTCTGCTTTATCTGTTACAAGTCCACAGTCTTTTAAAATTTCTCCTCAGGTGAAACTGAAATATCTGAAGTGTATTTCTGCTTGGTTAACCATCACTATCAGTTGTAAGGTGTGGAGAGACAGCAGAAGGAGGCAGTATTCTTTAGAAAGCATCATCGATGTAATACAATTGGAGCAGCGAAATTTTCAACAAGCCTATGTTTTTATCTTTATATGCAAGAGGCTGCTACAGAAGTCACATAAACAGTTAACATGCCAGTTATAAACCATGGTTTAGAGTCCCAGTGGAGTCTGCATTCAGACCTCATACCAGAATTTATTAAACCATGATTCACAAACTGTGATTATTTTCACATCTGAATGTAACGTAATGTTTTTTATTCCTCTAAGTAATCATATGACCATAATACATTTGGTTTGGAGATAAAGTTTAAAGATCTACTTGAAATGCAGAAGTTTTGTTTAGTTTTCTTCAACTTTTTTTTTTGTATATGTTAAGGAAATATGAGCTACTTTGTTGAAAAGTGCTTTCAATTTAATTTAGCAACTGTTTGCAAGTGGATTTTGCCATTTCACATGAAATTGTATCGAAAATGCATTATTCTCTGTGTGTGAAAGCAATCCCCCCCTTCTTTGCATAAGAAGGTAAACTACAGGGATCCAAGAGTATCACATAATTATAAAAGGGTTCTTGCCTTACTTGCACGATTCCCCTGAAGCATCTGATATCAGAGTCCTCCCCACAGGGACAGGTTTGTATGGTTTCCCCACTGCTGCTGCAGCTACCCATGTAGCACAGTAGCACTTATTGGCTGTATGTCAGGTTTCCTCGCAGTTTCCCTGCCTGGCAGATGCCACCCCTCCTTACCCCCATGAATTTCCAACTTTCATTAAAAAAAGCCCCTCGCCCTTTTTGTTGTGGGTATATAAGAAAAAAGGCATATAGTTTATGGACTTTGAACCATTTGAATGATCAGTTGTGCTTTTATTGTCATTTTTGTTCATAATCCTAGGATTGTAATCTTACTCTCTTATGATGCACACTTAAGTGACAACACTTTCAAATGTAAATTAAGGCAGTTATGATAGCTCACCTGGGTATGTATGGTTCTGCTGGAGGAGGAGGTATGTAGAGGTCCTGAAGGGCTGAACTGTCTCTTTTGGTGGGTGTGCTGATAGTACTAGATGGTGTTGCCACACTGCTTGTAGGACTTCTAGGTACAAGAGGCTGGTTAAAATAAAAATTTTTAAAAATTAAATGCCTGCCTTTTTGCCACTGAATTGCTCCTTCATTTTGTGTATTATTTCATTGGATGAATCATAAATGTTATATGCCCTGGGATATTTTTTGAGATATTTATACCCAGCTTTTCTCCCCAGTGTGGACCATAAAGTGGCTTAACAACATTCTCCCCTCCTCCATTTTAAGAGCAACAACTTTGAGAAGTAGGTTAAGCTGGGAGACAGTGTCACTAAGCAAGTTTCCATGGCAGAATGGGGATTTAGATCAGGCCCTAATCCAGTACTTTAACCACTATGCTAAACAAGCTGAATAATAATCCAACTATAACTGAAGGCCAAACCAGATACAATGCTGGAAGTTCCATTAATGCAGTTCCCAGCTCCTCCCTCTCCCACACAGCAGATGGGGGAAAGGCAGTCTGAATTCCAACACAAAACTAGAAATAATGCAATGGTTCAGCAAAATTAGCTTATTTAAAATATTGAAGATTCTGTGTCACTAGGGTAGATTCTAGTGACTCACATACGAATACCATACAATTTTCTAACACCTCCTCCATACTTAAGCATTTAAGTATATTGCAGATATCCCACATTAAAAGCTATTAATTTATTTCATTTCTATCCTGCCTTTCCTCCATTAGGCTCAGTAGAATACATGCATTTCACCCTTTAAAATAAGGTGCAACATAGAACAAGCTGGAAAATATACTTTTTTCTACATAATTGTCAAATATGGTTCCTAGATGAAGAGAAGTTGCTTGTAAACTAGGTTCTATTAACATTTGTTTGAAGTCTTTCCAGAGTGATTTTCTTCAAATCTTACACTGAAATTGGCACTGTATTTTACATTTTAAATTAAGGCTCAGCTAGGGACTTTTCCACATTCGCATTTTGTGCACTGGTAAGTTCCAGTTTCTTTATTTTTTCTCTTGTTCTGTGTGTGTTTCTGTCTTCCAGCACTTGCCAACTTAGCAGTTAGAAAGCAAGAAATTGCAAGTAGATAAATAGGTACCACTTCGGTGGGAAGGTAACAGCGTTCTGTGCGCCTCGGCATTTAGTCATTCTGGCCACATGACTTCTTCAGATAGCACTGGCTCTTCAGCTTGGAAACGGAGATGAGCACCGCCCCCTAGAGTTGGATTCAACTGGCTTTTGAGAAAGGGAAACCTTTACCTTTTAAGTTCCAATTTATTTTTTTTCTTGTTCTGCATGTGTTTCTGCCCTCTAGTGGTCTATTCACTATCACATCCAGCATATCTCCCAGCAGTTTTAAACTACAGGTTTTTATACTAGACATAAATCTGTGTGGCATTGTATTGACCACTAGAGGGTGCGGAACAGGAAAAAAACCCAAAGAAACAGAAATTTACCAGTGAGTAAAATGAGAATGTGGAAAAGCCCTAGTTTAATTACTAACACAGAAAGAGGAATCAGCAGAAATTAGGGATTGGCACGAACCGGGAATACAGCGGTTTGTGGTTTGTTTGATTACATGAAGCACAAACTTTCATGAATTTTTCCCATTTCCCGAACCAGTTCATGGTTTGTTCAGTTCATTAATTCGGGAGGTGGTAGAACAGCCCCCTTCTGAGTTAGAGATGTCAAACTCACAGGGTGTCTTCAGCAGACTCTCCTCCATCCACCCTCCAAGTTTGGCAAAGATTGGATTTGGAATGTCTGAGTTATAGCCCCCAAAGCAGGTGCCCCCTGGAAAGCTCAGCTCTAGCTTCCCCTTAAATCAGCCATGCAGCTAGCAATTCTTCCTAATTCGCTCTCACACAATGATTAACTCCTCTCTCTTACTACTGCAAAATGAAAGCAGCTGAGTCAGGGTATGGTATATATACAATCTGCTCCCATAGAGCAGAATGGGAGCTCCGCAGATGGCTCCCAGAGCTGCCAATCAAGCTATGGACAACTGCTATGGGTGTTTCTAGGGCTCTCCAGACGTCCACCACTGGTGTTGCCTAGTAATTGATTGAATCAGCGCCACGCTGTCTGGAGAATGAACCACTATAATGACCCAAACAAGCCTCTATGGAAAAAAGGCAGTTTGTTTTTGAATTTGGGAATGATGTGACCAAACAAACTGGTTCAAAATGAACCACGAAGCGGCCTGGTTCCTGCTCGAACTGCAGTTCTTTTCTCAGTCCGTGCTCATCCCTAACAGAAATTATCATTCCACTAATATATCTCTTGTGCTTTTTGTTTTGTTCCATGCAAGAGAAGGAATGATTTTTGATAATTCTTCTTATTGCACTCTACATTCCATGGAATTCCAAAGGGTACTCAATCCTCAGGAGCAATGGGGGGGATTGATAAAAGAAGTTGCTGTGGAAACAGTAAGGTGGCTAAAATCCCCTCTGTTCACTTTATTTAGGATCCAACCCAACAGATAAGTTTTCAGAGATTGCTATTATAGTTTGCATATTATTAGAAAATAGGTTCTCTTTTTTGCATACAACATATTTGAAAAATAGATTTTATTATTCCTTTTGAGATTTTTCTGACCAGTAGAAGCCATTAGAGGTATTTTGTGTTTGCTAAGTTGTATTGGTACAACAGAATACAAGTATTTCATGCTGGAGATTTCAATAGAAAAATCATGAACCCATGCTTCAGGGACAATCAATACAGAAGAATCATCCATAGAAATTAAAGCAACTAAATATTGACAGGCCATTAAGATTTTTCTGTAAAGAATTGGGTTTTTCTTCATATATTAATCATGACACCCTTGCAGTGTAAGGCAACAGAAAAACAGGTTGCCCAGAGGTATAAAAAGATGAGGTCTGCATAATCTTGTATGATTTTCTTGAGTATAGTGAGATGAAATGTAAAGAACAGACAACAACAAAATGATACACATAAACATGAATGTTAAAATGACATCAATTCATATGAAGGAATAATTAGAGCTCTCTCCCAAATCTGGAATTCTGACCTAAGAAGAGAAATAATGAATATATACTGAAGTACATTATTTTGTATCCAAAAGAATACACATATGGAGTAATATGAGTCCAATTCTGATGAGTGAAAGGAGAAAAAATGTCCCACTGCAAGCATCAAAGCTTCCCTGGAATTCCATCCTAATTGCAAGGCAAAGAATTAACAAAAGAGCTTCTGAGGCAAAGATAACAGGTTTTTTCCACCTCCGGCATAAGTCCTTTTCAATAAACACAGAAAGGCAGTTTACGGTTATACTGCATTAACCCAAGTTTCTAATATCACCCAAAATAGACAGAAAAAGTACAAATTTGATTTACCAAATGATAGTTTTAACATCTTTTGTAAATTTTCTCTATCTTAAAACTCTCATTAATAAGGTTTATCTGTCATCATACAAAGACTTAGGAAGGCCTAATAACTGCTTTCACATCTAACAAAACTAGTCTAATACAGTTTTCCAAGGAGATACTAGAGATCAGGGGAGTCTATAGATATGTAGAACAGAGCAATAGCTTGGGTACCCTTTTTATGAAGATTGCAAATTTTTATTTGGGTGTGTGTGTGTGTCCCTCACACTGCCTGTAGATCAGAACACTAATATCCCAAAGCAGTGGTATGCTAATGGAAAATTAATGAAGGCTCCAACAAAACACTGTTTCAAAACAACTTGTCAATACATGAATTTCCCAAAACATATTCTAATGATATGATCGTCAAAATGCTCATTTTAGTAGGCTTAAAATAATTGCAATCAGATTCTCCTTTTCATAATGATTATAGTTTTATCCTTTAGTCAGAATTAACAACTAATTCACCCTTGAGTACTTATCAGTTATGAAGGCAACTTTAAGAGTATGAACACAGAATAGCACTGATCATCCTATATTAAATAAGAGTTCTAAGTTGAATGAGTTGCTGTATTCTAGCAAGCTGTTACCTTGAAGCTGAAGGACAACAATTTAAGAGATGACATTTTTTTGAGAAGAAGAGAAATTACATTTTCAAAAGACCCATAATCCAGTAACTGACAGGTCTGTCGGTAACATGACAGAATAGCTCAAAAAAAAAAAAAAGACTACAATTTCTAGAGTAACACCTTCTTCATTTTAACTGTACCATTCATTCCCTGAAAATTGCAAGGTACTTAATAAATATTTCACATATTGTGAACTGTTATTCATATAATGAAAACACACATTTACAATTTAATATTAAGAACATAAGAACATAATAAAAGCCAATGTTGGATCAGGCCAATGGCACATCCAGTCCAACAATCTGTCACACAGTGGTCAAAAATACCAGGTGCCAACAGGAGGTCCAGCAGTGGGGCCAGGACACTAGAAGCTCTCCCACTGTTGCCCCCCCCCCAGCACCAAGAATACAGTGAATCACTTGCCCCAGACTGAGAGTTCCTATCTATACCTTGTGGAGAATAGCCACTGATGGATCTCTGTTTATCTAATTCCTTCTTGAAGCTGTCCATGCTTGTAGCCGCTGCCACCTCCTGTGGCAGTAAACTCCATGTTTTAATTATAACCAGTGTTCCCTCTAAGCTGAGTTAGTGTGAGCTAGCTCGCTGTTTTTTAGCCTCCAGCTCACACATTTTTGTCTTAGCACAGGAAGGATGGCTCCAGAGCAAACTAATTTATGCAGCAGCCAAATCACTCGCTCACGGCTTTCATGCCAGTAGCTCACAAAGTAGAATTTTTGCTCACAAGACTCCACAGCTTAGAGGGAACATTGATATAACCCAAAATGGCTTTCTGATTTCATAAGGGTTAGTTTTTATGTCTAACATATATTTAGTATAGATGATACAAAAATACCCTGAAATATTGTCTGTCATATGTTATATTGTATCTTGTAAAAACTATGTTGTTCATGAATGTTTATGTTGTGATAACAATGACAATAGTGTCTGCAGTGATCATGGATCCTAGGAACATGAATTCTGTCACTGCTTCCATGACTTCCCCTTCTATTTGCCAAGGAGTGATGGGGCTGGATGCCATGATCTTAGTTTTTTTG